GTATCCTATCATAACCCCAAGGACAGGCCAGTACAGATGCCTGAATACTAACAGGTGTCGCACATAAATCAACAGCTCTTCCCATTGAGGTGCTCACTAAGCAGATGGCTCCTCCCAGCTGTGGGCCTGTTTTTCTGGGAAGAGGCCCAGCCCACTCCAGAAGCTTTGTAAGCTGGCCCTGATTTGAACTTCCTCCATTGCTCTTGTTTGTACTTATCTCTCTGATTCCCTCCTCCTTCTGGGTGGAGTCTGGATCGGCTGAACATGTTTTGAACTCATGGAGTTGGTTGCTTTAAAAACAGAAGGTATCAGTATCTTTATTTTAGTTACAAAGAAGCCATGGAATGTTCTCTTCAGAGCCTAAGATACAATCCCTTAGGCATATGAGGATGGAAGTCTGAGGACCATTTAGCAACGGCCCATCGGCCCATCGTTTCTGTTACAAATGTCACAAAGTTGCTGACTTCCACAAGCAAAATCGTACACCATACATTTAATTAATGCAAATGAAGTTTATTTATGCAAATTAAATTCCCCCTCTATGTGCACCTGTATGTAGGTATATGGAATGTCGGTGTGTTTTCCAGAGTTCATGTATTAGAGTCTTGGTCTGTATTGTGGACTGATGGCCTGTTAGGATTTTAAAAGGTGTCCTCATGGAAGGCAGTTGGATCACAGGGGACTGTTTTGTAAGGACTATGACTTCTCATTTTCACGAGGAGTCCTAAGTGACCAGGTTGTTGTAAGTTAGCCTGGCATCTCCTACTTCTTGGCTCATGCATGCATGCCCCACCTATGTATTCTTGGTTTCCTTACCATGTCTTTGCCATGTTGTGATATAACCTCGTGGCACTTACCAGATTCCAACAGAGTACTGCCTGGTCATAGCATTGAGATTTCTAGATTGTAAATTAAGTAAAAAGAAATCTGGCCAGGTGGGATGGAAAGACAGTCAGTGGCAACTGCTGGACACTCATTTTTCTTGATTCTTATGACTTATTCTAGAAATTTCCCTCCTACTGTCTCACCTTTGTCTTATTTTCCAGCTGTCAACGTTTGCCCCCTAGCAAGAACCATGTGGTACTGATGATGGCCGAAGACATCCTATGAACTCATTTAGTAGGAACGCAAATGGGCTTTGATCTGTTTATGCCGACATATATATCGTGTATTTGCAGATGTAGAGTTGACCATCATTGCTTGAAATGTGTGGGGCTACGGGGTTGTAAGACCGTAAGACTGGATCGGCGGCTTCTACCAGTTCCCACATTGTAAATGTCACGCCTGTTTCAAGATGCCGATGTGATGTCATGGAATGTGAGTTGGGGACAATAAGCAACAGTACCTCAGAATACAGAATTGCCACCTCTCCTACACACGAGTGGAGTGTGAGGGTAGGCATGCAAGCAAGGACTACCTGGGACCCTCAAAGCTATGGAGAGGAATTTGGAGAGTAGGGGCTAATGTTCCCAGAGCTTCTCGTAAGTCTCCTTAGTTCTTTGGGAATGAACATCTGCTTGATTTGCCTAGGCTAGACCCCAAATTGCTTACCCACGATGCCTCAAGAATCTCACTGGGGTAAGTGGCAGCGTGGAGTGTCATCAGAAGCTGGAGCAGGACTTCCTGGGGAAATGCATTCTGGGTGAGCACAGGCATGGAGAGGTGTGCTACCTTTTTGTAACCTTGGGAGTGGGCTCAGGAGTAATCCCCAGGGTCTTGAACAGTGGGTGTGAAGAAGAGAGATTTCCTTAGGCAGCCAGGGTACCAGAGGCTAGGGTGTGGGTGGCGTTCCTGCGGCAGAGCTGGTAGAAGTTTTACTTAGACACGTAGAAACCTGTCCCGGTTATAAGTGGAGTGACTACCCAGCAGTCATAGGGACAGGCATTTGGATGCTTCATTCAGCCAAGCCATGAACAATAGCCATGAGCTGGTACAGTGAGCTGGTACACAGGCATCAGGGGCAGAAGGACTAGGGTGGAATTCCAGCCCTAATTCCACCCTGGGTGACTCTGAGCAAATGACCTTGCTTTTCTGTCTTATTTATACCAAGTCTGTGGAACACCTCTCTCTTCTGCGTGCAAATCCTGCCAGTCCTGCCTGGGTCTCTTCTCAACCCACTCCTTCGTTTTTCTGCCCTTGCTGAGTTCAGATCCCGAGAGTTGATTGCTTGGTTTCTGTTTGGTGCCAGGTAGATTCAGTGTGTTATGTGACTACATTTGGTTCTGGAAAAACAACTTCGTATGTATAAAATCCCAGCTTGAACGACGACTGTTAGGAAGGTATCAGTGTTCACAGAACTTCTTAACTTGTGGGTCACCATTTTCTAAGAACTGAAAGGCCATTGTGCCATCTGACATCTGTCCTCACACTGAATGTTTGGGCTATTTGCTATAATGCTACTCAAGTGACTCCCATACCTCCTGACCTGATCATTTCCTTTGCGAATGTAGGTCATCTCCTATGACTGGCAGTGTCCAAAAGATAAAAGTCTTACCTTGGGAGGACATCCATTGTTCCTTCTTCTCATATCCATGTACCAAAAGACATCTGTCCACTAAAGCTTCTTGGTCTCTCAACCTGCTAGGGGCCACACCCATGAAGAATCTGTCAGTAGTTCTTCAGCCAGGATGGGGCTCATATCCTGCCCCGCCCCCATCTGTGCTGGAATGCTGCCTGCCTTGATCGTGGGCAGACCTTAGGCAGGCCGCCACAGCCGCTCTGAGTCCACAAGTGTGATCCTAGGTCACGTTCAGAAGACACAGAGGCTCCGGCCATCTTTCCATCTCCTTGTCTGGGATGTCCCCTGAGCCTTGACAGGAGGGTGTGTGATACAGATACCCCGCTTATGTCTGAGCACTGCATAGACATTTATTCTCTGCATTTGACCTGTCTGCTTTCCTTGGTGTGCTTACAATGGTCTGTGCTCTAATGGAGGCATCTGTTTTCAATACCGGCTTGGAAATAATACTACATAGGAAACAGCCCGAATCTTCTTACCTTGGTGTTAGCGGCGCCCACCACAGTGGCTGGAAGCTGGAAGACTACCGACTCATTCACCACATCCCTCAGCTTCCTTTTCTGAGAAACATGGTCTGTGGCATGATCTCTGCAGCCATCCAGTTTGGGATATGAATCCTAGTTGTGTTGCTTACAAATGGGTTTTAGCTGGGTCACTTAATGTCTTAGTTTCTTAATGGAGGTCAGACCAACCCCACAGTGTTATGGATTAAGTGTGAAATTGTGGTACTTAGCAGGGCCAGGCACAGAGCTCATCCAGTACAGGGTAGCTGTGATGGCTTGCCCACGGTGTCCAAGTTATCTTGACAGTCTATGCTTGGCTCCATGAGGCTGTAAGACCAGCATCTTGGAACAGAGAGTCTAGTATTGCAGAATAAATCCACCTGAGAAGCAGGGCACTGACTGCGACCCTGTTGGCACTTTGCTTAGTCTAACTGCATTTGAAGATGGAGAGGATACCTCGAGTGTGTGCTGTCTAGAGAAGCAAGAAAAGTCAACTGGACCAGGAACAGTTAGTGAGTCACTTCTAGTTGCATTTCACACAGGCAGGTCTTCCCTTTCCTCGGCGATGGCCTTGACTGCCATCCCTGGCGACTGTTAATAAATGTCACCATTTGCACTCCCCCAGTGCATTTAAGTTTCACTAGTTCCGTATTTCCCGGCCAAGGACCCAAGTTCATCAAGCCAGTTTGGAAAAGCAGCGATGGAGGCACAAACCATAACTGTCATTAACAGAAAGGCTTTGAAACTGAAGACACAGAAGGCAAATGAACAGACCATTTAATCTTGTCTCTACTCTACTTTAGCCATTTAATCTCTGCTTTGGCTCTATACATCTGGGAAGTATATCATTTTCTAAACATTTTATCATAAATGTTCAGCTTTTCTCACCAACGGCTGATCTCATATGTGCTTAGCAAGTATTCGCTCATAATGCTAAAGGAAGACTGAGAGACGGTTTTGGTTTTGGCTAAGCCAGCATTCAAGATGAAATGCTGGAGGGTTCTGCAATTGATTTCAACAGTTTAACTTTACACTACTAAGGAAACAGTCCTGGAGGTGAAAGGGTTTCAGGTAAGAAGCCCCACTTGCAGGTTTGATTTGTTTTGTTGAGGAACCCTGATAAGGTGGCCTCTGCACGCATTCCTATTGCTCTGGTTTGACTCAGTGCAGAAGAGCCACCAGCAGTTTCTGGAAGTCCCCAGAGGTGTCTGAGCGAACCATGTCAGAGAGAGACTTCTGATACTTCTCCTGGAACTTGGCTTTTATCCCCTGAAGGTCTACCTGTAGGGATAATGGCAACAGCATGAGTGTCAACACTCAGAGTGTGTTTGTTAGGAAGGGCAGACACTGTCATCCGCCATCATACTCATTTGTTATATCATTAAACGGCCCTGAGGGCTCAGCTGGCATTATTTCAGCCTGGGGGTAAGGAAAGGGAAGCCTACTTTAGCTTCCTAAAAGTAGAAGTGTCACACATATATTAAATTGGGATTTTATGTCTGGAAGTAAAATTTAAATTGCATATGTTTTCATGTCTCACAGAATGTTTTTCTTCTGAATTCTTTGTAGGTATCTGAGCAGGAGTCATTCTTGGGTAACAAAGCTATACACATACAAGAGGGAGGTGGACCCCGTTTGCTTTCCAAGACAGTCTGACAGCATTCGGTAGAAGGGTAATCCTTTTCAGATGGAGGTCTGAAATTAAGCATTGCAGCTGGAAAGGTGACTCAGCAGTTAACGCTGAATATTCTTCCAGAGGACCCAGGTTCTATTCCCAGCACCCACATGGCAGCT